CTCCATCCATATAATTGTGTTATTTAAAAATGCTATATTAATGGAAGTGTGGAAATAAATGGAAATCAATCTTTTTAGATAGATTTTTTTTCACTCAGTACATCCCTGGAGAACCATCTTTGTATATATCAATAATTTCTTCCTTTCTATCGCTAACATTCCATGGTATGAATGTGCCAAAACTTGTTTATTCATTCAGTGAAAGACTTTGGGGTTGTTTCTCGGTTTTAGTTATTATGAATAAAGCTTCTATAAACACACATATACAGATTTTTCATGAACATAGGTTTTCATTTTCTCTGGGATAAATGCTCACTAGTGTGATTGCTGGTCCTTATGATATATACATGTTTAAAAAGGAAATGCCAATTGTTTTTCAGAGCAGTTACCATTTTACATTCTCACCAGCAATGAATGAGTAATCCAGGTTCTTTGTCTCCTTGCCAGTATTCCTTGTATGCCAGCACTGAGAAACCTTATTCACGTGAATAGATAGATTGGAATAAAAGGACTTTTTATTTAAAAAAAAAATAAAAGTTTTACACGATTTTTCTAAGACTTGTCTGAGGATCATTAATGTGTCTTTATCACTTAAAGACACTTTGTTTAACCCAAATATACAGGAAACATTGAGAAAAATAAGAATACACCAACCTGCTTGACTGTCCTCCTTAGAAGCTCACGTAAACAGTGATCTCCTTTAACTGGGCATTGGTCCTGTCCAGTGATGGCTGTAGGTAGGCACCATGCCCATGCCTTCAGTATTCTGATAGCTGCTGGCTCTAGGGTTAATTGTAGGGATGAGATTATGCCATTTTTTGATAACCCCATGGGACATCCCAGCTCTCAGTCCTGGATGCTCAGAGAATGTCATATCTCCTTGTAAGATGACACGATTACCATTTTTCATTTTAGCCATTCTGATAGATGTGTACTGATGTCTCATTGTTAGTTTAATTTATATTTCTCTAACAGCTAATGTTGAATAACTTTTCATGTGATTATTACCTGTTTTCTGTATGTAAACCCTCTTTGGAGAATGTTCACGTTTTGTCCATTTTTAACTTGGATTGTTTATTTTTACTGTTGCATTTGATAGCTCTTGATAATGTCTAGATACAAGTCATTTGTTGGATATTGGATACTAATATTTTATCTAAACCTTTAAATTGCTTTTTCATTCTATTAACAGGATCTCTTACAGAGTAAGCTTTTTAATTTTGAAGAGATCCAATTCAGTGACTTTTTCTTTTATAAATCTTTTCTATTCTGTTTTAGTGTCAACTCTAAGACCTCTTTACCTATTCTTAGTTCATCCCAAAGATTTTTTTCACATATTTTTTCTAAATTTACTAAATTTTTACATGTTACACTTGAGTATGTGATCCCTTTTGAATTAATTTTTATGTAAGATGTGAGATTTAGATTAAGGTTCATTTCCTTTGCTTATGGATGTCCAATTTCTTGAGTACTATTTATTGAAAAGGTTACACTTCCTCCTTTCAATTGCTTCATAGACTATCAAAAATCATTTGAGCATATTTGTGTAGGTATGTTTTGGAGTCCTCTGTTCTGTTCCACTGACCTATGGGTCTATCCTTCCACCAGTAACATCCTGTCATTATTACTGTAGCTATATAATAATCCTTAACATCAGGAAGAATAATTTCTCCCACTTTAGTAATTTCTCTCAAAACTCATTTTGCTATCTATTATTTTTAACAATGGCTAATGAGGAAATATCAGCTATAATATAATAATACATCTTAAACTCTAAAAATAAAATTAGCCTGATAGCTGCCAAGAATGGATAGACCAAAATAATGGAACAGAATTACAGTTCAGAATAGACAGTGAAGATGAGAAAAAAGTGTTATGTATATAAATTTAACAAATTATAGCCAGGCACACTGGCTCATGTCTATAATCACAGTACTTTGGGAAGCCAAGGCTGGAGGATCACTTGAGGCCAGGAGTTCAAGACTGGACTGGGCAACATTGTGAGACCCTCATCTCTACAAAAATATTTTTAAAATCATCTGAGCATGGTGGCATGTGCCTGTAGTTCAAGGCAGTAAGCTATGATCATGCCACTGCACTCCAGTGTGGGTGACAGAGCAAAATCCTGTCTCAAAAAAGAAAAAAAAAAAGAAAAAAGAAAAACAGTAAAGAAAGTATCATAAAGAAGAGAGATACTTATTTCAAGATTATTATCATCCTTGGAATTATTTTTATTTTCATGCTGAATTTCTTTTCTTTTCATATTACCATTAAAATGACCAAAGAAACAAAAATTAGGAGAAATGTACATAAGCACAATGACACATATAAAACAGAAATTTTGAGAGATTTCATGTAGATGGAATCAAATAAATGGAAATACCTTTGAGTGTCCCTAGGAAAGACCTTCATAAGAATTAAGCATCCTAAACATCCACCACCTAATTTCTGATCTCTGAGCATCCGGGACTGAAAGTTGGGATGTCCCGTGGGGTTATCACAAAATGGGACAACCTCATCCCTACAATTAACCCAGGAGCCAGCGGCTATCAGAATACTGAAGGCGTGGGCATGGTGACTACCTACCGCCATCACTGGACAGGACCAATGGCCAGTTAAAGGAGATCACTGTTTAAGTGAGCTTCTAAGGAGGACAGTCAAGCAGGTTGGGGTATTCTTATTTTTCTCAACGTTTCATGTGTATTTGGGTTAAACAAGGTGTTTTTAAGTGATAAAGACACATTAATGATCTTTAGACAAGTCTTACAAAAAATTGTGTAAAACTTCTATTTTTAAAAAATAAAAAGTCCTTTTATTCCAGTCTATTCATGTGAAGATTTCTCAGTGCTGACGTGTGTCTATTTTAAGAAAATTAAAATAGAGTCGAGGGTTGAGATTTTTGCAAACTTATATTCTATATGCCTAACACTTGGTTCTTATAGATTTTCAATAAATATCTGGTGAATCAGTTGACTAAATTTATTCATGGATACATGTTTCAATTCTAAAATGTTAAAAAGTACTCCACTGAGTCATTAAGAGGTGGATTTTAATACAATTTACCTTTCTATGTTTAATAATTTATTTCCATGGTTTTGGTCAGTTTTGTACCTATAATAATTCTAAAGATAATTCAACGCAGAAGAAATGTTTTAACACAGAGGCTTATGATCACAGAAATTTTTTAAAATGAAAGTGATCAGTAAAGTATTTTCAGAAATAAAGATGAATTACATTGCACCTAAAATTTTGAATGAAAAAAATGCCAGTGAAAATGTGCATTCACAGCCATAAAATTAAAAAAAAAAAAAAAAAAACTTGCATACAGTGAAGGGAACAATAGGGGGCAAGGTGGAGATGGTTAATGGGTACAAAAAAAAATAAAAAGAATGAATAAGACCTACTTATTAATAGCACAATTATAATCAGTAGTAACTTAATTTTGTATTTTACAGTAACTTCAATAATGTAACTGGATTGTTTTAAATGTAAAGGATAAATGCCTGGGAGGATGGACACCCCATTCTTCATGGCATGATTATTATACATTGCATGCCTGTATCAGAATATTTCATGTACCCCATAAATGCATACACTTACTATTTATCTCATGTACCCCATAAATATATACACTTACTACATACCCACAAAAATTTTAAATTTTTCTTTGAAAAAGAAGAGAACAATAGAAGCTGGGGCCTCCTGGAGGGTGGAGGGTGAGAAGAAAGTGAGGATTGAAAAATTACCTATTGAGGGCTGGGCGCGGTGGCTCCTGCCCGTAATCCCAGCACTTTGGGAGGCCGAGGCGGGCGGATCATGAGGTGAGAAGATCAAGACCATCCTGGTTAACATGGTGAAAACCAGTATCTACTGAAAATACAAAAAATTAGCCGGGCATGGTGGTTACTGCCTGTAGTCCCAGCTACTCGGGAGGCTGAGGCAGGAGAATGGCGTGAACCAGGGAGGTGAGCTTGCAGTGAGGCCGAGATCATGCCACCGCACTTACCAGAGCGAGACTCCGTCAAAAAAAAAAAAAAAAAAAGAAAAAAAGAAAAAGAGAAATTACCTATTGAGTACTAGGCTAATTACTTTGGTAACAAAATAATCTGTACACCAAACCCCTGTGACATGCAATTTACCCATATAACACACACCACACATGTACCCCCTGAACCTAAAATGTAAGCTGGAAGAAAAAAAAAAGGAAAATGTGCATTCACAGAGAAAAGAAAATATGACAGTATCGAATCCATAGAGTATTTATATTTTATTCTATATACTTATAAAAGTAATATCATAGTTTATTGCAAACACTCATATTTACTATGTGAAAAATGACATTTTTGCAACTGTAGGCATACCTTGGTGATATTGCAGGTTCAGTTCCAGACCACCAAAATAAAGCAAATATTGCAATAAAGCGAGTCACACAGATTTTTTTTGTTTCCCAGTGCATATAAGTTATGTTTACACTCAACTCTATGCACATAAAGAAGAAAATCTGGAGGAAATGGCTAAATTCCTGGAAACATACAATCTCCCAGGATTGAACCAGGAAGGGGCAGAAACGCTTCCTAGACAAATATCAAGCTCTGAAGTTGAATTAGTATTAAAAAACTTACCAACCAACATAAAAGCCCTAGACCAGATGGATTCACAGCTGAATTCTACCAGATGTACAAAGAATAACTGGTACCAATCCTGCTGAAACCATGCCAAAAAATCAAGGAGAAAGGGCTCCTTCCTAACTCATTCTATGAAGCCAGCATCAGCCTGATACAAATATTCTGGCAGAGACACAGTGGAAAAGATAATTTCAGGCCAATATTCCCTATGAACATATTTGCAAAAATTCTCAACAAAACATTAGCAAACTGTATCCAGCAGCGCATAAGTAAGTTAATATACTACTATCAAGTCGTGTTCTCATCACCTCACAGTAGATGAAGGTGAGACCTTGTATCTCTTGCTTATTCTTCCCTCAACCCTTTACACACTGATTGCTTAAGAGAAGGTAGCAGAAATAATTTATTTGCACAGTGTCTGAATGTAGTAACAGTTCAATGAATATTAATGAGTAAAAGAAGATATTGGAGAAGGAACATATCAGAACAAAAATGATGACAGGAGGTGGCTCCTGAAGCATGTTGTGGCTGTGGCAGGTGATAAGCCTCGAGCATTTACATAAGGTTTTATGGCAAGTCTTAATGATGCCCCATCCTTGTTGTTGATCTTCCCTTCTGATTCCTCCAAGTGTTATGATTTCTTCACAGAAGAGTAGATGACTTGGGAGTCCTGGGAGAGACATACAGGAATAAGGAAAGAAGTGATCAAGAAAATAGATAGGGTGGAGGAAGGAAAGATGAAGAACTTCCAAGGAGTCTAGCTCACCTTGTTCTCCAGAAGTGTCCTGATGTTTGCTGTTAAGAAAAAAGTAATAGTTCTGAGCTCTTGCATTCTTACTTAGGCCTCACTCCCAGACTTTATGCCCCAGGGCATATAACTACTATGCTTAGTGTGTGGAATTCCATTTTCTCCTGTTCTGTAAAATCCTTTCTTAAAGTTGTTAATGCTGAAGTCCTTCTAAGACTCTATCCATCTTCCAAGCCCTCCACCAGCACTTACTAACGAAGTGCTTCTCTTCTCTAATGCAACTTCCCATAGGTCATTGTCTTTATACTTTTTTCCTCTTGACTTCTCTATTACAGCACTCTGTCAGGGCTGTTTCCTGTTGCTTGTTTATGTTCCTGAGATAACCAACCATGTGTGGTTCACCTCAGTACATAGAAGGAAATTGGAGTAGAATCATAGATAACAGAAGACAGACTCTGAATCATACAGTATTTTGAGTCTGGTTGCAGGAGCTGCTTAGTGATTTCTGCTTCTTTTCCCCTTTTTCTAGGTATGCACAGTGGGATGACATCCCCTTCCTTCCCCTGAAGATTTACAGCCAGAAGCTTGGAAAATGACTGCACTTTTTGATTCTGCTAGGCTGGTCAGACACAGAAAAAGAATGCTAGAGTAATCAACTCCCTATAGGAAGTTGAAGTGGCACAAATCTAAGCAAGGCAGGCAGAGGACCCAGCTTCAGAGGCTCAGAGGAGAGTAGCTAAATGACTACTGACCAGGAAATCAGCCAAGCTGTCAAGAGCCACTGGCTCCATCAGAGGCAACCAGGAGCACAGAACAAAGGATAGCTTTTAGGGTTGTTGGTATAAGGGTTATAGTTTTAAGGGCACTGGAGCAGAAGCTTAAAGGACACTCCTCTGCACTGCTGCAGAACTCAGCAGTTCCTGCAAAACTACATGTCGAAGTGAAAATTCTCTAAGTCATGTTGATTTATTCAGTTATTCCTCCCATCCCATATGAAGACTGCAGATCCTTCAAAGGAGACACTTTAATGACCCTGTTCACCTGAGAGAATTCCTCTTGGACTTTAGACATGCTCACTCTTGCCTGACTTCCTTCTTTTGCCTTGAATCTTAGATTCTCCCTGACTATCTAACGCCATTCAAATGAAGACTTATTATACCATCTCCCTATTTTTTTTTAAGTTTGGTTTCTTCATAAGAGCCTACCTCCAGGTGTCTCTTGCTCCCTCCTGGATCAAAGATTTCCTATCAAGGGCAAGCAATGTATTAAAGCCTCTATTGCTGGCCGGGTGCAGCGGCTCACACCTGTAATCCCAGCATTTTGGGAGGCTGAGGCAGGTGGATCACTTGAGGTCAAGAGTTTGAGTCCAGCCTGGCCAACATGGTAAAACTCGGTCTCTACTAAAAAGTACAAAAATTAGCTGGGCATGGTGGCACATGCCTGTCATCCCAGTTACTCAAGAGTCTGAGACAGGAAAATCAAGCGATTTTCCTGTCTCAGCTCACAGGAGGAGATTGCAGTGAGCTGACATTGCACCACTGCTCTCCAGCCTGGGCAACAGAGCAAGACTCCTTCTAAAAAATAGATAGATAAATAAATAAATAAATAGATAGATAGATAGATAAATAAATAAAGCTTCTATTGCATACAATGCATCACTTTCCTGTGAATATGCATCTGACAAGAACCACTTTGCAGTTTCTCACCTGAGCTTTCTGGCTGCTGGATGCTCCAGACCTGAGAATAAACCACATCCATATCTACAGAGCCCACTGCAGGGAGAAGACAAGAGTTCACAGATGTTAGTGGCCAAGGGTTCACTTCACACACATCTTCCCCGTCCCTGGCTTAATGATTATATCCTTCCTCCCAACCCAACATGATGCTGAGAGAGTCATTTATTTATTGGGAATGGCTGGGCCTCAGGGGTTGAGGTGCCTAGACCACCTAATGGTCTCTACTCCTGTCTCCTCTTTCTTTTCTGCCTCAGCCTCAGAGCCCCTCCCAGTGGAGACACTCACCATTGACATACACTGGCTGCAGCTCCTCCGTTTTTGGGATTGGGCTTGAATAGGTGAACTCCTGAGGATTCAGCCTGCAATCACCTCTGTGAGAAAGTGAATTAACTGCATGATAGTCCCCAGGGCAGTGAGTGAGAACAGAAGAGAGACTGGCTGAGGAGAGAGCAGGTAAAAGCCCTGCAGTCATGGCTCTCTGCTTGGGTGATTTTATGGCCCTTTGTATAGACTGTCTACTTGGATATGGCCAAAATGTTCTGTTCCTTATCTTTGGCTTTTTCAAAAGTTATAAATAAGACAATGATATTGCTCCAGAATCTTTTTTTTTTCTTATAAACTGTCATAAAACTTTGCCTGCCTTTTTCTCATTACTTTATCTCTCTCACTCCTTCTTGTACTCTGGACATATACTATATACCTATAGCACAGTATGTCCCTTGAGGAAATACACATTTTGTGTGTATGTTCATTCCTCTAAATAGCTAACAAAAACTTACTTATACATTAAAGATATTCAATAAACTTGAATATATGAATTTATGTATTAATTTAAATGTATGTAATCCTATACAAGATAACACCTAGGGTCATGTGGACCACCTTAAGACAGTGCCTTGGTGGCATAAATGTAATGCAGTAGAGACAAGAGTAAGTATTATAGAAAGATATCGTGTTAATTACATAGCCTCAATCTCAACATACAAGCAGAGTACAGTAGGTATTTAAAACTGAATGAAGGAGACCTCTAGAATTAAAATTTTTACTAGGAAGGGTTCTCACCTAGGTTCATTAGTGGCAGAACTTTCTCCTGAAATGCAAATAAAACAAAATTCATTTCAGAGAAGGAAGCTTTATCTCTTAAAATTTTGACATGATTTAACTACATATAATCGGCTGGTAAGACATAGGATATAGAAGAGTAATCCAACTGTATTTCATCTAAATGGCTGCTTATATATTCCAACACAACTAGTTGTCAGTAAAATAATTCATTCTTTTTTTCCCACTGATTTAAAATGCCACTTGAAATGGCAAACCTTGCATGCACTGGTAACTGTTTCTTGATTTTCTATTCTGTTCTATTGTCTCTTTGGCTATTCATGTACCAGTACAATGTTGTTTTAACTATCATAATGTAAAACATATTTTAACCGTTGATGACTGATTTTATTTTATTGCTCTTCTGTATTAGATTTTATGCAGCCATGCTTAATATTTAAACGTTTGATATTTGCAATACCTAGTCTGTAGGAGTGACCTTGGGGCTAGGCTGGATATTGACATTTGTAAGGCAAACTAGGCCATCTCTTGTACCTGTTGCTTTGTGGGGAGATGTAAAACAAGAAACACAGCATATTAGCATAGATGTATCAGCTGTGTCTTTAGAGAGAATCCTCATAGTGATCCAGGAGATATTTTCTAGTCTTCCAGTTAATACCTCAGAAACAATGCCACATAGATGTGTATAGGGGCCACCCTGGCTCAAAAGCTTTATGCTTGGTAGAAATCAGTATCACTTGTAACACCCATGAGGGTATGTGTGTAGCTTCCAGAGGTCACCACTACAAGAGACATGCTAAATTCCAAGGGTTACATTGCACTTGGGGATACCCCAGCTATGCTTCCCATCAGGCTTATATAATCCTAGTCAAAGTCCTCCCAGTTTAGATGCAGTTTGCCAATCACGGAAAATACTGCTAGTAGCTCAGTCAATATTTCAGCTTTGTTAGGCTTTACAGAAAATAGTGCTAGAAAATTAACTTTGATTTAGTTTGCCAAGGAGAAGGTAAAACTTCTTTATAATTAGCTTGTTTAGTCTTCAAGGAAAGGCATGACCTCAGAATTGTCTACCAAGCCAAACCGTCGTTAAAGCATAAGTTGGGGGAGTTGGTCATATTCAAACATATATTAAATAAATGTATATGTTTCCAACAATTCCTTCTTGAAGAAATTATTTTAAAATGGACTTCAAAAATAGTTCTACTATCTAAGCACTTTTGAATAATAACAGAATCTGGTGATACATTGGTTCACAAAGAAAACCTCCAAAATATTCCAAAAATAGGCATGGTACACATAATATTCTTTAATCATAATGGAACTGGTAATTCATAACAAAACTTGAAAAAAATTGACACATGTCTATAATTTATCAATTTAAAGGAAGCAAATCTTAAGCAACTGAATACATATACAAATACATAAGAAAAAAAGAAGACTATCCAATTTGTTCAAAAGAATAAAACTAACAAAAATAGAAGGCAATAACTAACAAATATAAAAGCAGAATTCTAGAATTAGAAAGAAATATTGGTAGATAAAATAATAATTCTAAGAGTTTTACCATACAGGAGATAGAGGTACTATCTTTCTAGATGATTACATTTCAAAGGGACGGCTCCCAAGTCTTAGAGAGAGACATTTCTGGGTTGTAAAACTGGCAAGAGGCTAAGAGAAGATTTATATCTCAATGAGGCAGAGAAAGAATTTACAATTGCAAGTTCTCTAAAGCAAATGCTCTAAGAAAAGGGAGATGAGGAGCCTATAGTCAATTTGAGGACAATATTAAGGCCAGCTTGGTGTGGGGAGGAGAGCCCTGTGTAGACACATGCCTGAGGAATCTTAAGGAGCAAACTTTCTCTTGAAAAGCAGATAAAGGAACATTTATTTCAGGGGAGATATGGTCATCTGCCAGAGGCAGGAGCTGCATATTTACAGGTGGGTGCAATGGTGTGTGAGTGTTTCTTGTGGATGGACCTGAGCCCTGTGGAAGAGAGGCATAGCTTGAAGCCATTTCAAAATCTGGCCAAGAGGACTTCCTGAAGAGGTATGGGGTTCCAAAATAAGGGTGGAGGGGAAGGGAAAGAAGGCTTTAGATTCTTAGAAACTGAAGAGAGATGTTAAGTGCTCAGCTGGAGAAAAATGAATCACCTGCATCATAAGATGCAGGCAGGTAATGTTAATAGTTGGGGGGCTCTGGAGAATTCAGAGACACACCCCCAAAATAGGAGCTGATTTTCTCAACCCAGCAAACCTGGAAAGTCAGCTTTTTTGGAGCCAGGAAATCAATGCCAACCATGGGGGCTTCAAAAACAGAAGCAACTCAAGGAAAGAGAGAAACATCTGGCCAGAACCCTTTCTGTATTGCAGAAGGCTGGCCTGAAGAGGGTCTGAGATGAGTGGGTGGGAGGTGAGTGCTTTAACTTTGAGATTCAGAAAGCTGATTAATGAACGAGCACTCTATGGAGAAACTATGTTTTTATTGTTGTTTGCCTAAAATTATATAGGAGTGATATGGTGTGGCTGTGTCCCCACCCAAATCTCATCTGGAATTCCCACATGTTGTGGGAGGGGCCCAGCGGGAGGTAATTGAATCATGGGAGCAAGTCTTTCCCGTGCTGTTCTCATGATAGTCAGTAAGACTCACAAGATCTGATGGTTTTAAAAAGAGGAATTTCCCTGCACAAGCTTATCTCTTTGCCTGCCGCCATCCACATAAGATATGACTTGCTCCTCCTCGTTTTCTGCAATGACTGTGAGGTTTCCACAGTCAGGTGGAACTATAAGTCCAATTAAAACTCTTTCTTTTGTAAATTGCCCAGTCTCAGGTATGTCTTTATTAGCAGCATGAAAACCGACTAATACAAGGAGTAAGTGGATAGAGTATGGGCCTGCCTGTGATTTCTACCAGAGTCAGGGAAAATATAATCCTCCAAGAGTGAGTATGAATGGGCAGTGGAAAAGGAAGATAAAAAATTAAGTTTTATGGTTGCACTCTAAGAGCACCCTTGTTCGATGAATCAGTTATCATGCCAAAAATTAATCAATATCTCAGGAGTAAACTTAGCAAGAAATGATGAAAGCCTATATAAGTAAAACTCTAAAACACTATGACTCAAAATTTACCAAAAGTAGACACACCCTTTGATAGAAAAATTTCTCATTATAAAGCTGTCAATTCTTCCTTAATTAATCTCAAAATTTAAGAGAATCCTAACAAAAATACTTTATTGAGAGACACTGATTATATTGTTTGTGGGGAAAAACAAATAAGCAATAATATCCAAAAAAATTCTGTAAGAATAACATAGTCATGATGGGAACAACCTTAATGGAAGAAAAAAATGTATTGTTATAAAGCAAAGGCATACAAGTCACATACACAAACACATGTATGCACATACTGATATACACACAAACAGAATAGGGCTTCAAAGTTAGATCTGAATACTATCAGATACTTAGTATAGCTGAACTGCTTTTATCCATAACATTTCTGTCGCCGTGTGTGTGGGGTTTTTCTTCCCCATACCAGCCAATTTTCCAACTCTTAGGACACTAATTACAATTAAGAGCTCAGTTCTGACACTACTCAGAGTTAGTGCAGACCCCACAGGTAAAGGGGCGTGTCCTGCAAAACTGCCCCCCACTCCAGATGCCAATAATATGTCATGGGCCTCATATCCTTCTGACCAAATGGCTATAAATTGGGGGTTCCCAGGACTTCTTCCTCAGTTTCAATAATTTGCTATATAGAACTCGAAGAAACACTTCAGTTACTCTTACTGGTTTATTACAAAGGATATTATAAAAGATACAAATATACAACCAAATGAAAGACATTAGCTAAGACAATGTCTGGAAGTGTACTGGAGTTTCTGTTCCCAAGGGAATGGGGTGCTCTACCCTCCCAGTACATTGATGTATTCACCAACTGGCAAGTTCCCCAAGTCCCATTGTTTAGGATTTTTATAGCTGTCCAGTTACATAGGTATGATTGATTAAATCATTGGCAATTGGTGGTTAGATGAATCTTCAGTCACTCTCCTGTCCTCAGAGGTCCAGGGGTGGGGTTTGAAGTTCCAACCCTCTAATCACAAGGTTGGTGTTTCTGAAAACCAGCTCTCATATTGAAGCTATCCAGGAGACCCCCTGTTGAGGGTCATCTCATTAGCATACCAAAGACACTCAACACTCAAAGAATTCTTAGAGTTTTAGGAGCTCAGCGGTCAGGAACTAGGGACAAAGACCAAATATATTAAATAATTTCTTCTTATATCACAATACCATAGGATATTATAAAGGCATCACTTTCCTTAAAAAAAAAAAAAGATAATTAAATAAATCGCACAGAAATAATGAAATAGCTATCTGAAAAAAAGGATTAGATTCTAGTTCAATACTTATTAAAAAAGATTTCCGGATGTGTCACAGGTATTTGAACCAGAGCAACTCCATCTTGAATAGGAGTTGGGTAAAATGAGGCTGAAACCTACTGGGCCCCGTTCCCAGACAGTTAGGCATTCTAAGTCACAGGATGAAATAGTAGGTTGGTACAAGATACAGGTCATAAAGACCTTGCTGATCAAACTGGTTGCCATAAAGAAACCAGCAGAAGCCCACCAAAACCAAGATAGAAGCAAGAATGACCTCTAGTTGCCCTCACTGCTACAATCCCACCAGTGGCATGATGGTTTACAAATGCCATGGCAATATCAGGAAGTTATCCAATATGGTCTAAAAAGGGGAGGCATGAATAATCCACCCCTTGTTTAGCATATCATCAAGAAATAACCATAAAAATGGGCAATCAGCAACCCTTGGGGCTATTCTCCCCATGGAATAGTCATTCTTTTATTCCTTTACTTTCTTAATAAACTTGCTTTCACTGTACTGTATGAACTCGCCCTGAATTCTTTCTTACTTAAGATTCAAGAATCCTTTCTTGGGGTCTGGATCCAGACCCCTTTCCAGTAACAGATGGATCACAAATTTAAGCATAAATATAAAATGACATAATTCTAGAAG